TGTCCATGGCAGGCCATCCTTTAGGAGGCACCGACCAAGTGAGACATTAACAGGGGCATTCACTAAGCCAGCCTTGCCAAACAAAGTGCATAATTGAAGAGGTTGTTGGAGCTTTCCTGTTGGGCCCATTTGTTTAACAGCTCCTCCCGAAGCCAAAGCCGGGCACTTGCTTCGCCCGGCTTGAGCCCCTAGCTGCGGCTTGATCGGATGTGGGCCGACGTGGAATTTGGCAGCTATGCAACCATAACATTCATATTACGATATACAGTGCAGTAAAGCATACCCGATACACAAATAGAATATATATACAATTATGATCAATTATGTACACATGGTTCACCCAACATCTCTTCTCAAATCGTTGAGGAAGGGAAGCAGTAGAGAAGCCTTCACTGAGTAGGCTCCAAATGGCTCCAATGCGGAGCTTGAAATTGAATTAGATTGAATCTTGCGCAGTTCAGCTTCCAACAGGACGGTCTGATGCAGCAAAGGCTCTCCATCTGTCCGGGAAGGCGAACGCGGAAAAATGTCGGGCGAGTCCTGAGCGCAACAGTACTTGATGCGCTCAAACTGGGGGTTGATGGTCGGTGGCAAAACAAAAACATCGAAAACAAACAAAGCTTTGAGATTTGCACGTTTGGCTCCAGCAAAACAAAAGGTTTGGAGGTTTGGAGGAGAGGCAATGAGAAGATAACGAAACGAAGCAAGATCCGGGTGAATTTCGGAAGCTGAGCATTTTCGCAGTCTGGATCTGCCGATCGCGACAGGCACGGGACGGTCACCCCAAGCTGCCGACGTCGCCCATCATATCCATCGCCTCTCGGCCAGCTCTCGCCTGAAGAGCAACAGCAGATCCCTGGTTCTCAAGTCGTTGGGGGTCGATGCCTCGGCCACGAACTGCTCCAGGATCATTTCCTGGCCGAGCTCCAGGAAATGGGAAATGCCATGTCCAATTTCCTCTGGACCTACGAGACTTGTTTGGGACTCCTTGCAATTCCTATGCATCCTTTGGAACTCCTTGAAATGGAGGAAGCTGCTTGCAGTGTCCGTGTGGTTCCGGCCTGTGCTTCAGGATCCTGGTCCAGCTCTTCCAAGACACCGCGAGCATACCTCTCATGTGCAGCAAAATGCCGGCCCAGCGCCTTGGAATAGACTAATCATGCAGAAACGGCATGAGTTAAACACATTGAAATCATATCAACGTGTCCTCAAATGGATTCAAATGGTGCTCATACTAAACGATCAACAACATATATATATATATAGTTGCATGTCAGATAAGAGTAAACGCGACAACGCAAATACATAATTAAATATATAGTATAGTATATATATCATATCGACTTATCTACATTTAACTAAATACATACTTAGTATATTGTTTGAATGTTTGGAGCCATTATAAGGACGACATTTTAAAAAATGTAATACAGCATACTGGAACACATCAAACATGGAAGACAAGCTCCCGCATGATGGCAAATGGTCGCGAAACACAGACACAGCCCACCTGCGGAAGACATCATAAGTAACTGCTCGACCATGAGGGTCCAGTTTGGTGCGGAAAAGCCGCTTGTACCTATACACTGCGTGCCGTACCCGATCAAGTACGTGCCGAATCCAGCCCGGCCCATCTGACTGACCAGTCTCCAAGCTGGAAAACATGCATCAAATTCGAGGGGTGGGCAGCGGGCACGTGTCTCTGACCTCCTGCAGTTCCTTAGATCCGCCGCAGTTGGGCTTAAAACAGTTGGATTAGTTCCGGCCATACACTGAAGACACTTGAAGGTAAGAAGATTCCATGCCTCTGAGCTTTCTGTGCTGTATACGCTCAGAATATCTCAGAATCTACAAGCTGGAGCTTTCTGCGCTGTGTCGGGTCTAACAAGCCTTGGGTTGTTTGTTCCGCACATGTTTGCTCAAGCAGCCAAGGATGTTGTCAGTTGTGATCCGAGTGATCCAGCATGGGGCATGGAGACTAGGGAGATTAAGTTTATGCATCTCAAATCGTAACAATGGCAACATGTTGCGCGTTGAAAGATCAGTGGTGCTACCAGTGTAACCTTGCACGTTTATGGCTGGGCGGTTGGGAATTGCGATATCCTGCGAAAGATCTGCCATCTATTTCCCGACTTCCAGACCTGAACGAACTGTAAAGCACACACATGTAATAGTCGTCACTGTAGTTCCCCAACGTCAGCGATGAGTATGGTGCGATCTCACAACGGGTGATGACTTGAGGGATGTTGGATTGTGGTGCTTTCGTTACATTGGACGTTTGGCAAACTGGATCTGTGTGCCTGCCATCAGCACATTTCCTGGGCCCGACAGTGCAAGTGGTCAACCAACTAACTGTGCTAACCTTGCTGAACCGAGTATGCTACTAGTAAAGGGTGTCTCTTTAATGGTGTGCCGAGCTTCCACAGCAGCCTTATCGTGGTGGAGCATTGCAATCCTCACGTTCAGCATTACCAGCTCGGACTCCTCAGGATTGGGCATACACCCCGCAGACCGCAAACATCCGCAACCCCCTCGAGAATGTCCTGGAAATCGTGCTTTAAACAAGTGATGAAGAGATATGAAAAGAATACACGCAGCTTGCCCTTGCCCTTTGACATCCTACCGACAAATGCGTGGCACCTGCCATGAAAAACCTTCCGAAACACATCCGACGAATGTTCGATCAACGAAAAAAACGCTCACGAGACGAAGGCTGAGCGCAAACTCCCGATTCCTGCAGGAGGCCGTCGTCATTTAAGTCGTGGACCTGCTTTGCACGGTCATTCTCCAGACCAGCTGACAGTGGCTGACAGTCAAAATGACAAACGGTCAGGGATGTCTAGCGTTACCATCAAAGCCGTCAATCTGAGAAGTTGCTCGAGATCACATGGCAAGAAACGCGAAGTCAAAACACAATAGCAATGTATGAGAAGAGTTGCGGGTTGATGCGAGTTGCCAGTGCTGTGCCTCTGAAATTACCTCGTTCCAGTCAAGACTCCGAACACGCGCAGCTGATGGGCTTTCCGCAATACCTGTTTATAATACCTGCGTCCAACCTTGAAGAGCTCGAGGGTCAAATGTTCCAATCTGAGTGCGTTTGGGAGGTCGCATTCTCATTAACAAAAACATACCAACATCCAACAAGAATAAGTTAGAATAGCAAAAAGGACACGCAAAGCCCAAAATCCGCCAAAAGAGACATTGATGTGACTCCACGAGCCAACAACCCCTCCGACATACAGCACTTCCACAAAGCAAAGCAAACGGACCAAACCTAAACTTTCAACCTTGGATTGCCACACAACTCACTGCCGTTACAGAGTTGCAATCCTTTACCGCTGGGAAATAAAGGCCATGTCCTGCTCCCAACTCCATTGGCCTTTCAATGTCAATCTCTTGCGTCTCTTTGGCGTACTTATCCTGCAAGGTCCATGAATAAACCCCGCAAACTTCTTGTATATGACAAAACTTGAAAACCATATGCATAAAAACACATATATATATATATAAATAACAAGATAATACTAGAAGTAGTCTGTAATACCTGACATTGACATGATGAGAAGGGTAGGTAGCAAGTGGGAGCACAAAGTAGTACGGTAATACTATAATTGAGTTTGGACATAAATATTTGTTTAAAGTGCCCTTTTGCTCTTGCACTTGGCTCTCCTTTGCTCGCCTCTTCTTTTTAGATGGCACCTGTCGAGCAAAAACCATCCCAGATTCCCTCTTTCGCATGCTTTCACAAGATTAGGCACTGCTGGCCGTGCGTGTAGGACCTTTCTAGACCTTGTTTATGTTCTGATTGTATTGGCAGAATTTAATCTGACCCTTGGGAGTCAACACATCGCTGACATCGCCTGTTTAGCGTCCAAGCAAAAGATCCAGTCGGCGGCATCCGCTGTGTTGCAGACTGCACAGCTGCCAAACGCACCTGAGGCCATCAACATGTACAAGGTTGACCCCCAAGAGAAAGAATATGCCAATCCCTAGTGACATGCCGTCTCAAAAAGTTGTTCTCCAGCCGGATTTCCCACACTGGCACCCCGGTTAGAGCCGGATTCGGAAACTAATCGGTCGGATTCTAAAACTAGGGTTCTGAAACTGGGGTTCTTAAACTAGGGTTCTGAAACTTGGATTCTGAAACTGGGGTTCTGAAACTTGTATTCTGAAACTGGAAAGTCAGATTCTGCAACTGGTATTCCGAAACCAGTTACGGAATCCCAGTTGCAGAATCCTAGTTGCGGAATCCTAGTTGCTGAATCTTGACAGTTGCGGAATCCTAGTTTCGGAATCCTAGTTGCGGAATCCTAGTTGCGGAATTCTAGTTGCGCAATCCTAGTTGCGGAATCCTAGTTTCGGAATCCCAGTTGCGGAATCCGACCAAACAGTTGCGGAATCCTAGTTGCGGAATCCTAGTTGCGGAATCCTGCGCAGTTGCGGAACTCGACTTTATCCCTGGCACCCCTGTCCACACCTTGAGCTAAGCTCGCGGAGCAAAGGTTGGCACCCATGGTTCCCTGAACAGGTCAAAAGAGGAAGGCGCAAAACAAGACACTGCCTGACCAAAAGGCGCACACCTTTCATTCATGGGATCCCGTCTCAACACGCAATGATGTTCAGAATGGCCTGATTGTGTGCTGCAATGCATCCACCACGGTGCTGATGGTATTTGCTCTAAACTGTTGCATTCAATATCATGCAATTGCCCAATGGATTTATTGTACGCCGGCAATTCACATACCATCCAACTCGGTGCCTGCACGTCGTCAGCACGCCGGCCCAACAATAAGCACTTCAGAGTTCAGAGCCATAATGTGGCAAAACAAAGGCTAAAGCGGCTAAACAAAGTCAGCAATCATCAGCTTGAGGTGGGTGTTGCCATTCTGTGTTTTCATCATTACAGCCTTGGTTCAGCAAGGATCTTCTAAGCGTCAACTGGTGTACGTGGTAATTTACGGTATACGGTACGTTCTGATCGATATCCAACTCAAAAGCACCGTCAACTGCCCAGCCAGTATCTCTCTCCTCTTATTACTCTTGTTATCTTTTGAATGCTCTTGTAAACTCCTTCGACCCTTTTCGCCTTACTTTCGCTCCGTCCCTTTTGACCTCTTGTAAATCTTGTATTCGGTTGATTCATCTCGTTCCAATGCCTCGCTGCAGCTCACCCGAGTGCTCACAAGGATGAGCTGCAGATAGACTCTCTAGACCTGCGGGGCAGCTATTTAGGAACAGTGTCCCACGAGAGACAAATGCTTTGAGGGAAGTCTTGTGCTACAAGCCACCACAAAGAAACAATACACATGCCAACAAATGACCTTGCTACAAACCCTGTTGCCACTTGCTAGCTACTCATCTTCAATCGAACTTGCTGCTTGACCTCGAAGTCAAGTGCACAGGCCACACTGCAGCCGCACAGGCCTTCTGAAGGGCCTCCTTGTTGTTCACTCTGTCTCGCCACGGAACACTTCAAAGGCACCACCTCCGACTATTTCTGGCAGCGTGCAAAGAAGTTGGATGCCTATGGCTATAAATGACATGTAATCATATGATATTAAATTGCTTTTATAATATGCCTTGATATGATATCAACATATATCGACCCTTTAAGTGCATTCAATGGAGGACACCGGATCCCCTCGATTTCAATTCTAGCACCCTAGCTTGCAAACAAAAATTAATTTGTTTATGTACATGTAACATGTTGGTCCGGGTCTGCAACACAATGATAATGGAGCCACATCAATCTGGCCGAGTGGGTTGTGACGGGATCTACTCTAGCAATCATTGTCGTAATGTCCATGATTCAATCCGCCGTTGATTCATCACATTTCTGGGTCTGCTGTTTCGATTGCACAATGAATATGTATATATATATACATACATTATATACGTTGATATTATATTGTATAATCATGTGTGATCATGTATGTGTATACAGTATACAGGCTGGCACCTAACTTTGCCTTAAACCGTGTTGAAGTATGCGCGCATGTGTGCACCGGGTAAGCCGGGATAAACATATAGAACCTGAAAACCGTACATCTGTGCAAAAACCACGTGTTTGCATATCTTCCAGTGGTCCATGTTCAGGTTCTATGTTTAAGTATGTTTAAGTTACTGGTGCATCTCAGTGAAGCCCGTCAAGCAGCAAGCAGCCCCGCGGTTGCTCCAAACTGTGGCCTCTAGGCTTGCGTCGCTCGAAGAAGGCCCAAATCCTTGGGTACTTCTTTGATTCTCATGGTGGCCAGGATTTGGGATGGTCTAGCTAGCCTACGAGCCCCTTGCTTCCCCACAAAAGTTAATTATGCAGTGAAGCCTAACTACACTGAAATGTGCTGGTAAGGCATCGATCAAATATGACAGTCAGCCGGCGTTCTGCCCAGCGGGCCTCGGGACGGAACAATTTCAGCTCACCAGGACGCTACAGTGGACGCTACTAGGGGCTCCTGGCCTTACTACTAGTAACAAGGACCCTACTAGGAACAAGTGCATCGCTTCTAGTGACAAGTGCCTTACTAGTAGTAACAAGAAGCTACTAGGGGCTCCTGGCATCGCTACTAGTAACAAGGACGCTACTAGGGGCTTAACCCAACCCAACCCACAGGGAGCACACCAGCGCCATCATTGTCTACAGCCGTCAAAAACGCAAGCGCAAGGCTTGAACTTGCCAGTGTCCTGACCAGCTCCAATGCTTGTTCGGCTCCTTGACAACTTGACCTTGCTTTTGATACTTGAATAGGAGATAGGAGATAAAGGTTTGGGAATATGGGAAACAACTCAGCATGTTTCAGCCACTCGAACAGCCTATTGCAGTTGGTGACGACGTGCCTGTGGCTCTCAAGAAGCCTGCCGCGACCTGATAGCCTGGATCCGACAAGTTGGACCTCAGGGGTGGTTGAGCATCCCTCCACCCACCTGCGCTAGCAGCTACTAGTGTTACAATGAGTGTTGCCCTTCCGCCAACGCTTGATACCATTGCACTCGCGATTGCCATCGCTTGATACCACTGCCTCTGCGGTGTCGTGTTGCACCTTGATTCATGGGCAAAGCCTTGCCGTCAGCTATTGATTCGACAGCTCGCAGCAAAGGCCCCCTTGTCAGGCAAAATGGCACGTCACTGAGTTTGCTCAACAGCTACGGAAGAACATCCAGGTTAAGAGCCGGCATGGGCACCTGATGGGTGATCCAACGGGACGGCCTGAGGTGGTGGCCCAAAGAGAAAAGGAACTCCGAGTGCTCCAACAAAGGCACCTTCATCGAAGTTGAGGGGTCATTGTGAGGTGGAATTTTGCTGAACTTTGCTGAATGATGTCTGGAAGGCTGTTGGACACAATTTTGAAACAAACAAGCCTACCATTGCCTACCAAAAGGGCCAACACTCGACGTGATTGGACACCTGTGCCCCCAATTCCAACACTCGGGCCCAAAGAATCCATTCGCCCGGCCTGCGATCATTGCAGCAGGGTCAATGGGGTATTCAATCTTGGGCGGCAATGGTACGAAAGTAACCTTGGAAAGGAACCGGCATTCATGCCTCTTCCACAAGCATTACGAACAGCCAGCTCCCCAACACCCGCAGGTAATCAAATACCTGGAACAAATGGAATACCTCAACACAAATTTGGACAAAGCTCCTGCAAGCACCTCAACCCCATAATTCATTGTCGAGAATCATGGTTAATCTATACTGTGGCCGTGGCCTCACATGAAGTAGGAACCGTCCAGCTCTTATTCTAGTGTCTGCAAATATTTAATTGTTTGCCTCGCTGCAGCCAGCAAAACAGTCGAGCTACATTGTCCTCCTGCAACCGCCGGCTAAGACTTGTATATCCTGGGCGTGCAAGGGGGTAAGTGTGCCCTGGCACATATGGCCACTCATTACAGGGGCCAGTGCCAAACACTACTTACTTCGACAGGTGTGAGGGGACAACAGGACGTAATAGTTGAGAATGTAGATACCACATATATAATAGTATATAATTAATAGTTAAAAACATTGTATAAACTATATAATTTAAAAAATATCACTCGTAAGTCATCACAACAACCTTCAACCTCAACCATTCCCAGCAATCAAAGGCTGACAAATCGCCTGCAACACGTATTGGCAATTTAGACTAGAATGCGTCGGACTGACAAAAACTTGCGCGGATTTTGGGCGGAAATTAGCTTGTCCTTTCACATTATAGGGTTTCGTAGGGTACCGTACCTACCGTCTGGTCATCTAAGTCTTGACTCGATGCTAGGGTTCTGTTGTCCGTCTTACTTGTTGAAGTTAAAGCCCTGTTTGCTGTGAACCCTTCACCAGTAATTGCAAGCCAAACCCAACGGCGCACCCAGCGACTCAACTCTGGCAGCACGTATGAGCCCCCCCCACACATCCTCAAACCCCCCTAAGCCTCCAACAGAGTGTGCAAGCAAGCAATGTCAGATCGTGTTGTGGCTTTCTAGCACCCCGGTACCATTTAGAAGGGTTGTTGGAGTTTCTTTGTCACCTTCACTTACCCTGGCATGTGCAAGCATAAACCCAAAAAAACAGTTGATAACAGTTGTATCATGTTGTATCCAAGTCACCGCCGCCTTCAGCGGCACCAAGTATTGCAAGCACCTTGGAAATCGCACATGTCAATACAAAAGCCATGCTCGTCCGGCCTGAAGAACGACATAACAATTGAAACATCCTGGCACTAAAAGGCATGCCGGAACGACCACAGTGGCAAGGAGGATCTGCATTGCCTGTGCAAATTGAATCTACTGCGCCCAACACGACTCAAGGATGCCACTGAATAGACCAACTTCAAGGCAGCCACTTACAATGCGTTTGCCCACCGAAATAGACCGTAGCAACTACCGAACCTGTTTCTTGGTGGCAAAACAGTTGATGCACATGGCCCATATGGTGAACCTGACCTGTCTTAATTCAAATTAACAACTATTGGACTATTGGGTCTGACAAATCCTGGGCCGCAACACTGACTTGTACAACCTGTTGTTTGCTTTTGATTTCCGGCCTTTGCCCTCCCCAAAGGCTGCAATGGGTCCGCCCCAAGTGTTTGGATATGCCAGCGGAAAAGCAAATTATATCAAATGACCTTGGACATTGAATGCAAAAGCAAGCAATCCGTTCGAGGGTCACTGATGTTCATGCCAAACAGGGTGCTATCAGGCGATATGAAGTAGCAATGGACACTCAGCAAGTTCTTCCGGTACTGCATCAAACAAGCTTGCAACGTCATTTCAGCATTAATTAAGCACATGTTAAAAATCATCTCTATGCCCCGCCCGTGCCGTGCCCCTGCCTGCCCCAATGTGAGATCGCTGGACAGGTTGCCCGTTGTCAGGACTATTATCAAAATAACCCTCACAGCGCAAAGCTGCTTAGTTCGCTCTCCCTTTTCCGTTGGGACCCTCCAGCAGCTCACGCCGGACTCGCTTTGGCAAAAGCCGCAAGGCCTCAAAAGGTGTCCATCCTGCGTATGCTATGTTTCAAAGTTTCGTTTCCTATGTTTCCGTTTGCAATTGTTTACATAATATTCACCCATGGAATTGAGTGTTGAGTGTTGTTCCCAGGTGCCGATGTCGAGGAGTACAAAGTTTCGCCAGCAACAGTACACTTTGTTTGATCGTCTGCTCTGTGCGTCCTTCTATCACTGATGCTCAGGCACTCGATTCTGTGTTTGAGAAAGCATCACCGTCGAGTCCTGCAAATTCTCCCCATCGACGTACTAAAAATCTGTAAGATACCCTTACGATCCCTTACGGATCCTTACAAAGGCCTTACGGACCCCTTTCTTGGTTCCAATCAAAGGCCTTCTCAGTAAACGGCCTTGGCACGCTGGGCTCCAAAGAGTGACCGGCCAATCCAGCCCGGTGGTGCGATCGCATCCAGCTTGGAATCCCCGGGAAAGGGGTGCAAAGCCACCTGAGGTCGTTTGACCAGAAATCTTTTAAGATTTGTATGACACCCATTGGACCAGTTCTCCAAGTTGAACCCTAAGACCCGCCTTCGAACACCGGACCCATCCACTCCAATACAGACTCACATCTCACATCGACACTCACAATACAAATCAAGAGAGAATGTCTTGATACTTATAGACTTATATACTTATATATGATATTATATATATGATTAATTCAATTGTGTACAGGCAAAGTGTGTTTGGGCCCTCGCATGGCAGTGTCTAGAGATGTCTAGAGTCTAGATTAACATGTTCATCCTCATGAATCATGTCCGTCTCTCTCTCTCTCTCAACAGCCCCAGGTAGGAGCTAAACAATTTACGAAAGGGGAAGCTGCACAAGGGGGAGGAACATGAACATACAGGTGATGGCCATCATCTGCAAGACAAAAGAGTAAAACACAAACAGTAGTTTGACTTTTTTTAATTCGGCCATTGGCCTGTTGATCCTTCAACTCTTCATCCAATCAACTTCCAGGTTTGACATGAAAACTGGACGTTCTTCCGCCCAGTGGCCACGATCTCTGCAAAGGAGTTCGGCTCTGACATGCCACAAATGGCCTCCTTAGGGATCTCCAAGCCACGTAAGGCGCTGCGGGCCAACGTACGGAGGCCTAGCCGAACACGAGCAATCCACGATCCGTCGCTGGACTTAGGATGAAAACCAAGTCAAAATGGAATGGCAAAAATCAGTCATATAGTCCAATATGGTCCAATGAGAAGTGGGCTATCGTTCTGTTTGGGGTTGGATGTGCTCTTTCCATCTCTTTCCCATTCTTTCTTGTTCTTACTTTAGAGCTGTGTTGAGAGCGTGTTTCAAGGCGACCGAGAAGGCCTTCAACTGTCTTGACCTGCTTGTCATGGTCCTTCCTCCCACTGCACAGCAACAATTCTTCGGCAGTCTCCTCCTCATTGTCACGATCTTCTTCCGGCACCTGCCACTGACTGCCCCCTCCTGGTTCAATTGCATGATTCTCATCATTGTCATGGTCTTGTGCAGAACCTGCGTTGTTGTCTTGGACTTCCTCACGTGTGTCATTGGCATCTGCATCCTGAAGTTCAGAAAGTTCGCCCAGCCCTTCAGACCTGAGAGTATCATCCACTTCAACTGCTTGATCATGATCCTTTTCAGTCCTCATCTCCTCTTGAGGAGGCTTTGCTTCTCCACAATCCTGTGGAGCCTTGTCAGCTCTGGTGGAACTCTCCTGCATCTCAACCTCTTTGCAGCTCTCAAGCTCCTGCAGGGCCCAATCTTTGCTGAACCCTCTGGTCACACCTGATCATCAATCCTAATAAAGAATCCTGCAGCGTTTGTTGCTCGCTCTCCCTCTCTCTCTCTCTCACTCAAACATCCCTTTTGCCTGCTCTGCGCATGTGGAGCTCTGGCTGCTTCTGCTGACACTGTCCCCTACAGGGCTGCAAAACACCAATACAAAGCAAGGCTTTGTGAGAAACCACCTCATCAACATGTATACCTCCCATAAGTACAGGAAACAAAGATGATTGTAGCGTATTGTAGCATTGACTGCAGTTGCGCAAACGGCGTACAACCAAGATGTCCTGCCTTGCGGAGAGTCTAAGTCTTGCATGTTGCGGCGCAATAGAAGTACGGTCCCACCTGGATGCACTCTGAGTGTCAAGGATTGTGAAAGCATCGGAATTGCCGTTCAATTGCCCTTCATGTCTCCCACATGACCGAAGGTACAATAATCCGATGCCTGGGAAAAGGCTGATCATCAACTCAAAGCACCCTAAAAGTCATAACGCCTCCTTACGGGCAAAAGCATGGACCTGCCCAAGCTTCAGCGTTGACTGAATCCCTGGGTCGTTCAGACTGAATCCCTGGGTCGTTCAGAGCCTGGTCGAGATGGAAGCCGCAAACAGGGCCAGTCCCCAAGCTCTTCCTGTCAAACGCGTGGCCAGAAAGAAGCACTCTGGAGCCATAGGCTCTAGTAGCGGCAAATTAACAGTTTAATACGATCCTCCTTTGATCAATCTGTGCGAAGGCCTTGCATCCAACGGTTTGCTAGTAGAAGGAGCTCTTGTGTTGTTCCCGCTGACTAATTTGCAAGGGGTGCATTTTTCTTTGAGAATTTTTGGGTTGCGCTTGGAGATCTATAGTTCCTTCAATGGAATGAAAAAGCGCTGTGCTTGGGATTTTTGTGCGGTCGAGGAACTGAACATAAACTTTATAGCTGATAGCTGTTCATAGAAGAAATCATATTTCAGGGTGTCAGGACGAGAAGGAATACAGAATGAAAAAGTGATGTTCATATGATGCACTTGGGTTGTTTCTTAAGGTGAACTAAAACACAACCACCAGTGGAGCAGAGAACAAAGAGTGGGAAAAGCATACAAAGCCAGAAAAGCAAACATAAAGCAACACTAACTCAAGGATTGACAACCAATTTATCAAAAGTGAAAGCAACGACCATAGAAAGAAAATACCATTAGGATAGGGAATCAATACGCCACCAAATAAAGAGAAGAAGGAAAGTGAAGGAGAAAAGCCAGAAAGAACAAACAAGCACGAAAGCAGCAGGGACAGCAAAAAAGGAAACCATTCACAAAGAAAAATAAAACATTCACCAAGCAGCAATGAAAAGCAAGAAGGAAATGCAAGACAAGCACAGAAAAGCGAAAAAAAGGAGAAAAGCGAGAGCAATCACAGAAAAGCTATGAGAAGCGAGGAAAAGCCAGAGGTAAGAAGCAAATCAAAAAATCACAAACTCAACAGAAAAGTGAAACCTGTGAATGTCCAGGCCTTTCGTCGTACTCGCAAGGCCTGGTGAGTGCAAAAAATTGCTGCAAAGCTGAAGTGTGCTGCTGAAATCTACTTTATAGGTCCTTTTAAGTTGGTTGATGGAACGCCCACATGCACTTCAAGATATGAACCCCGATCCAAAGCGGTCCCGCAGTGGTTGTTAGTCAAATGCTTTCTGTCACTATAGCGAAGCTGGCTTCTGCAACCAAGATTGTAGGTTCATGCTACTAAATGGGTCTCAAGTCTCAACCAACCATTCAACTCATGAACACAATGCTGGTGAGTTAGAAGGACTTGAAGAGCTTTATACAGAATCCAGGCAGCGCCTCGTCATCGAAGACCAGCTGATCAGACTCTTGCAGAGCGTCTATCAGCTCAGGAAGGCTAACGCCTCGACATGTTGCATGTAATGAAAACGTTTGCAAGATCAATAGAATTGGGGGCACAATTCCCCTCTCTGCTATGCCCCAGGAACATGAACATGCCCCAAAGATATATATATATATATAAAGATGAAAAGTCAGGAACATGAACAGGATGTTGCAAAGCCTGTTTGGCCAGTACTGGCAGTGTTCTTCATCTGCTGTCCAAGCCTGACCCAATGGGTACCGATGATGCCACTCCCAGAAAATGATCCGACAACTCCAAATCCCTCACTTGCGGGTCAACCATTCCAGTCTGGCGAGGCCGAAGCGTCAACGACCGGCGTCAACGACCTGCACCTTCGCGCCGAAGCTTGGGGCATTGCAAAATCCAGGTGGCGCTCAGCCACACGCCATCCGCTGCAGCACGCAGCTGCCAGTCGCGGGAGAGGTTCCGATCAGAAAAGTAGAACCTCCGTGCCCACCAGAAGTGAAGGATGTGACTCCCTTCTACTGACATCCAAATAAAGAACTCAGCTGGTCAACCCAATATGTTCAATCTTGAAGAAACAAACTTAGGTTTGGCAGTGGCCCAGCGTAACACATCAACAAGGCACAAGCCAGCACAACAGGTGCTTCTGGTGCATGATCTGATAACCATCTGAGACCGATTGGCTCACCATCCTAAGGTCCTAATTGTCTTAAGACAACATTCAACGAAAACAAAATCATGCAAAGGTCCCGTTCAAGGAGCCCTTTAATATATGTATATAGTTAGTTAATTACCTTTCATCTCCTTGGTCGAGTCTAGACGAACATATAAACCTCTTTCGCTGCCTTAAACCGCTTACTGAGCTTCAGGCTCAACTTGCCTTCGGATCTTGGACAAATCCTGTCGCAGCTTGTCACATCACTTGCGAAACACCAAGGTCGCGGTGGCAGCTTGGTAGAATGCTGAGTCACCGGTTTAAGATGGTCGGACCCCCTGCGCACCTGACCTGGAAAAAAATATGCTGTTCAATGCTCCTTCGCAATTCTATCATGTTCTCAGTGGTAAGGC